AGAACTTACTACTTCTAGGAACCATGCTCAATGCTGGGAATATAGAGATGAATGCAGCATGGTCCCTGCCTCAAAGAGTCCATAGACCAGTGGAAGAGAAAGCCATACTCTTGCAGACAAATAGTAATATAACAAGGTTATAAGTGGTAAAATGAGAGATATAAACCAAGGTACTATAGTAGCAGAGAAGAAAAATTATCTTTATAAGTCCAGAAAGATCTCCCAAAGAAGTTGAAGCTGACATTTAAAAGATTAATAGAAGTTGGCTCTGCACCTGTAGCTCAGGAGGCTAAGGCACCAGCCACATACACCAGAGCTGGCGGGTTCAAATCTAGCCTGGGCCTGCCAAACAACAATGACAGCTATGACCAAAAAATAGCTGGGCATTGCGGTGGACACCTGTGGTCTCAGCTACTTGGGAGGCTGAGGTAGGAGAATCGCTTAAGGAGTTGGAGGTTGCTATGAGCTGTGATGCCACTGCACTCTAACCCAAGGCGACAGCTTGAGGCTCTGTCTCAAAAAAAAAAAAAAATTAATAGAAGTTTATAAGGTAGATAAAGCTAGGGCACTGGGCAGACTAGATAAAGGGGATGATGTATATATAAAGGCAAGAGAAAATAGCATTTGAGGAAATTAAAAGTTATTTCATATGGCAGAAGCATAATATACACGGAAAAATATCAAGAAATCAAGCTGAGTAGGTATGATGTAGCTGCTCAATCAGGAAAAGACCTCTCTGCTCAGCCAGGAATAAGCCATGCATTGTTTAACTAAAGGCGTGAGATGGGGAACTAGTACTTATCCCCAGCCTATGGTAAGCTCCCTTTATACCCAAACTTATAGGCAGGTGAAGCCATCTGACAGAAAAATGGTTTAGGAGACCTCTTTCTGTCATAGGCTTAGGTTTAATAGTATCCCCATCCCTAGAAAGACCCGACACCTATTCTGGTTCAGGACGTGGCAATCTATGTTTTCCTCTCTAGAGTTACAAATCCTTCAGCGCATGGCTGAGCACACACCTCACGTTTTGTGTTCACAGTGTTCAGACTGTAACCATTATAGCCCAGTCAATGTACAGAGGGAAAACAGAAGGTTCCAAATCAAGAACACCTGCTTTATGTCTAGCCCAATGAAAAGTGCTCATTTAAGGTTCAGAAGAAATATGAGACACAGACCCTGTCCACAGGAGCTTACAAATTACCTGGAAGACAAGACAGAAATATGAACAGTCTCCACACAATATTATTACAGCATTATTCACTCACATAATAAAGTACCAACTTGGGTAACATATATAATTTGAAAAATGGGGCAATAATACTAAGGTACTAACATACAACCAACAAGTCCCAGAAGAGTAAGAGAAGGAGAAGATCAATATTGACTGGTATTATCAAAGGTCACTATTATTAATAACACTCTCCCTGTTTTGGCATTTAATAGATGTTTCCTTTGGCCAAGCTCAATCCTTAGAAAGGAAACCTAGGCAAGGAGCTTCTGACAGGCCACAATTATCTACTCCCTAGTCATTCCTTTGCCAGTCCCCTTATATAAACACTGTGATTTTCCACAGCCTACTGTGCCCACGGGATAGGCCCCAAATGGTAACCCTGAGCTTTTTACCTTCCTCTACTGTTGGATGCTGAAAGGACCTGGACAAGTAATAAGGACTACCTTTCCACTCTGTAGTCCAGACCTTGTGACCAGATCTCAACAAGCAAAATTTTAACAAGTGGTCAACCAAGCTTTCCAAGGTTAGAGAATTCCAAATGAAATCCCAGGGTACTTTAACAGAGACAGTTTTTTAAACATTAATCAGCCTACTCTCATCTCTTATATTCCTTCTCCCTTCACCTCCACTCTATCCTCCCAATGTACATCTCAAGCTTTAAGAGACTTTCTATAGACAACTATTTCAGACAAAGGGCTTTTTAACCACACAAGCCACCACAATTTACCTTTCAGGAACCTGGAAAGAGAAAGTAAAGCACAATTGTACAAGGATATAACAAATACCCTACCTCTACCATAAATTGTTCCAAGAAGGAATTTTCTTCAAATGGCTCTGTCTTCAATCGATCTATAAGGAGAAGGAATAAAGAAAAGAAATATGAGTGTTATGATAAGCTTCTTACCTGTGAGATGGAAAGGGAACCCAGGACTTCTTGAAAAAGAGAAGAACAATGCAACATCCAGAGACACCTAGTCTAGGGGGAGAAGAGTTGAGTACAGGTGGGCAAACAGGGAGGAGAGGACAATTAGCAACAAGTGCCAGGTTCACTGGCAGCATCCAGTCCAGGAGTTTTTCCTGCCACAAAGAAAAGGTCAAAGTGAATTTTTACTCTGAAGTTGGAGCCATGCAATTTCCTAAACTCCCAAGTTCATGTTGCCTTAATACAATTTGTACAGTGATTGGCCCCTTTACAAAAATCTTTCCTTGCTATTTGCCTAGGGCATGTCTGGACTCAGTTATATATTTTGGTCACTTGGGTCCCAGCCAGGTACTCAAAGCAGAGAAAAGTGTTGCCTAGCATCAAGTCTCCAGTTTCTGGTCAGCATCCAGCATCCATACTGGGGGAAACACCTCTCTGATGCAAATAAGCCTCCTCCTTCCCTTGACCCCTTGACTATCTATACCATTCCCTACCCAACTCCTCCAAGAATGTCCTCTTACCTCGGCTCAGTGTAGCCCCACTCTCCTGGTAGTCCTGGATTTCTAGATCTTTCATACGAAGCAATGTTGCTAGCTCCTTCACTTGACACTGCAATGCCAGGCTCATGCCCATCAGAGGACGAATCAAATGTTGGGAGACCTTTGATGGAAGAGATATCAATTAGCCAATAGATTCTTACACAGTATTTCCTAATATTGTATGAGGCACAGGCACTCGAAAGAATACTGAAGAATAAGCGTTTTCACAGAAACTTACAGTTTTATAGGTAAACAATCCACTTATATGAATGTAAACACAAATATAATAAACAAGTATACATGGTATTAAATACGTTCAAGGATTTTCTTTTCTTTTTTTTTTTTTCATTCAAGGATTTTCTTTGTGGTTCAGATAAAGCATAGGAAGACTAAAAGAGAGCACCTATGGAGAGATAACCTAGAGTTGTAATTGAAAGAGAAGGATGTGACACAGTGGATACGCGAAAAGTGCTGACTATTCAATTCTGAGCAGAAGCTGAGAGATAAAAGCAGAAGATCCAAGTTACACATTGCCTTCAAGAAAGCAGGTATGGTGAAAACAAGTATAGTAGCAGGAGTAAAAGAGAAGACAAAAGTAGAGAGCCTTGAAGGTCAAATTAGATTCAGACACTAATTAAGACCCATTTCAAGGCTAAAAACAGCCCAGAATGAGCCCAGAGTTTTGTTTCCACAAATGGGGCGGAGTCTAAAGTTATCGTTGTTACAGAAGCAAGCCAACCATCAAGAGACAAACCTAAGAAGGTATAAACCAATGCTCTCTACATATACCTTGCTTTTGTCAAGAGACAAGAGGAATGCAAGCACAGTCATACCGCAGTACAGCTAAAGTAATGCTCTCCTATGATAACAGAGCTGTATAGAATAATTTAATTCAACTATATAACGTATCCATTAGCTTGTCAAAAAAAATAACTAAAATTAATAATCTATTTGTGGCCAGGGGATTTTTTTTTTTTTTTTTTTTTTTTGCAGTTTTTGGCCAGGGCTGGCCTTGAACCTGCCGCCTCCGGTATATGGGGCCGGCACCCTACTCCTTTGAGCCACTGGTGCCACCCTGGTTAGGGGATGTTATTAGAGCTCATCCCCCAAAGAGATGAGCTAAAAAGAGCACTATGAAGAAGAAATGTGCAGGCCAGGCTCATGCCTGTAATCCTAGCACTCTGGGTGGCTGAGATGGGCGGATTGCTCAAGGTCAGGAGTTCAAGGCCAGCCTAAGCAAGAACAAGACCCCATATCTTCTAAAAACAGAAAAATCAGCCAGGTATTGTGGTGGATACTTGTAGTCCTAGCTACTTAGGAAACTAAGGCATGAGGAATGCTCAAGCCCAAGAGTTTGACATTGCTGTGAACTAAGATGATATACCCTGGCACTCAACCCCAGGGTGACAGAGACTCTGTCTCAAAAAAAAAGAAAGGAAGGAAGGAAGAAAGAAAGAAAGAAATGGGGCACCCCTAGTTCAGTGGTTCAGGTGCCGGCAACATGCTCCAGGGCTGATGGGTTTGAACCCGGTCCAGACCTGCTAAACAAACAACAACAACAAAATAGCCAGGTGTTATGGTGAGTACCTATAGTCCCAGCTACTAGGGAGGCTGGGGCAAGAGAATCACTTGAGCTCAAGAGTTTGAAGTTGCTGTGAGCTGTAATGCCACGGTACTCTATCTACCATGAGTAACAAAGTAAGAGCCTGTCTCGATAAAAAAAGTCCTAAAGCAGAGGTCAGCATTTTTTTTCTGTAAAGAACCAGATAGTCAATATTTGGGCTATGTGGCCCATAGTCTCTGTTGTACTCAACTTTGCTGTTGTACCATGAAATCAGCCACAAACAATATGTAAACAAATGAGATGGCTGCATTCCTCATTATTTTGTAATATAACTTTACAAAACAGGCAGCAAGCCAGATTTAGCCCATGGCTATCGTATGCCAACTCCTGCCCTAGATCTAAAAAGGAGTATTTTAGACAAGATATCCCCACGCTGGCTTGAAATGAGGAAAAGGAATTATAGTGTCCCCATAAGATTTACAAGCCAGACTCATCTGGATCAGAATCTGGTGTCTGGACTCTTCAGACTTTTGTGTTTTCATTTTCCAGGTAAATGTTACTACTAAAAATTCTAATCATGCTATGGCTCAAATTAAGAGGAAAAGACTTTTTTCCACATTTCTTTAAGGATAGAAAAGGAAAGACAATGTGGGGAAGTAGTACCAGCACCAAGACCCAGGAAATGTAGGGGTCCTGGCACAGAGAGGAAGGCCAGAAATCAAGCCCAGCTACAGATACCAGATACTTCTTTCTATCACTTAGTGTACTCCAACCTGGCACTATCTCCCAGCTCAGGTCCTTAGAAAAAACTTAAGCCTCCAGGAAACACTGTTCAGAATGTAGCAGAAGTTTAGCTTTGAAAAATGTATTTGCTCTAGGCCCAATCTTCTTTTACCTAGGAACTGTTTTGACTTGGTCCTATTCAAGGAATATTGGGAGGAAAATTAGGCAAATACTATATGTCAGTCAATGAATGGGTGGTGGGTTGAATTGAAAATAAAATCCATTGCTAATCAAGGAAGAACATCATCCATTTGATGGCAGCATTCAAATAGCAGACTCCTAAAGTTTTGTTTTGTTTTGTTTGAGACAGCTTGAGGCTGTCTGGGTAGAGTGCCATGGCATCACAGCTCACAGCAACCTCCAACTGGGCTTAAGCAATTCTCTTGTCTCAGCCTCCCAAGTAGCTGGGACTACAGGCACCCGCCACAATGCTCAGCTATTTTTGGTTGTAGTTGTCATTGTTGTTTGGCAGGCCCAGGTTGGATTTGAACCCTCCAGCTCTGGTGTTATGTGGCTGGCGCCTTAGCTGCTTAAGCTACAGGCATCAAGCCCAGACTCCTAAAGTTAACAATCAGCTTCTCTTGGGTGGTAGAGGAGGGAGTAACCTAATAGCAATTTCTTTGAGTGATGGGAACTATAACAACATGAAACATGACAAGGAATAGTTTTTAATTAATGCTATGTCTAATTAAATATGATAATACTATACTAGGCAACTGAAATATTCTATAAGATCCAAATGTCCATACAGAAAAAAATAAAATTTTACCAGTAAGTATTTTAACTGATAAAATAATTTCATAGGACTAGGTTACATCACTCTGAATCACTGAAGTATAATTCATCCCAAAGTTACATGAACGCTAAAATGATTTCCCTTAGATAAGATAACCTTGTTTTTATCAGACTTAAATTAATGCTGAGTAGAAATCTTGAAAATATGTATTAATGTGTTAATAAGAAACACTGGTTAAAATGTATAAATGATCCAAGCAAATCCACATCCATGATAAGGAAAAATCTTTGAGTGCTTTAGGAGGTCAGGGAAGCTTTCCCTAACCTTCAGAAGCAATATATAAAGAAATACAGTTTATCAAGTCAATTCAACTAATACCTACCTGGTGCCTAATATGTGTTCTGACCCTATCAGGCCTCTCTGCCCCAAAACAGCTCACACAGTAACAGAGGCCAGGAAGCATGGTGGATGCAGAAGCAGGAGTTGCCAATCTTTCTCAGAGGAAAAGCTATTTATAATTTCTCCTTCCCCCCAAGGCTTCAGATTTCCCATAGGAATGTTCACAAGACATAGGCAGGAGAACAGAACAGTTCTCAATCTCAACATGAAACATGATGAATGATATACTGAAAAGGGTAACAGACTGGGAACTAGAAGAGCTGGATGCTAGTAGTCCTGACTCTGATAGCATCTAGATACGAAAATGATTTAATCTCAACTACTCTCAGGTTCTTTGTCTTTTTTGGGTTTTTTGAAAAATCTTAAGAAAAATCAATCTGTCTTTTTTAAAAGAAAAATTATATATTTAGAGTTAAAATATTTGTTCTCACAGGTCCACTATAATTCTAAAGAGGAATTATATTACATATATTCTCTTATTTAATCCTCATACCCCCCACAATAAGGTTGTATCTGGTTTCTCCATTTAACAGGTGAAGAAACAGAACTATAAAAACTCAATACTTAGGGCGGTGCCTGTGGCTCAGTGAGTAGGGCACCGGCCCCATATACCGAGGATGGTGGGTTCAAACCCGGCCCAGCCAAACTGCAACAAAAAAATAGCCGGGTGTTGTGGCGGAAATCATAGACCAGAAGACCTATATATTTCTTAACATTCTGCAGAGACTTACAAACCATTAACTTATTAATGTGTAGAGGGTGAGGGGAAACAGGTACTCTCCTGCTCTCCTGTATGGCTAGTTGGAGTTAAGTTACATAATGCCCCTAGAAGACAAGCTGGCATTACAATTAGCAAGACCAAAAGATACAAATATTCCAGGGCCAGGCCTGGTAGTTCACGCCTGTAATCCTAGCACTCTGGGAGGCCAAGGTGGGTGGATTACTTGAGCTCAGGACACCAGCCTGAGCAAGGGAAAGACCCTATCTCTACTAAATATACGGGAAAAAAAAAAAAACTAGCCAGGCATGATGGAGGGCACCTATAGTCCCACCTACATGAGAGGCTGAGGCAAGAGGATTGCTTAAGCCTGAGAGTTTGAGGTTGCTGTTAGCTATGACATCACAGCAGTCTACCAAGGGCAACAAAGACTCTATCTCCACAAAAAATAAAATAAAATAAAATAAAAACGAATAAAAGATGCAAATATTCCTTGACCTAACTATTTCACTTATAGGAATTTACTAACATTTTTACATGCAGAAAAAATAAATACAATATTCACTGTAAATAACAACAAAAAACTTAGGTATCTATTAATTGCAGACCAAATACATGTTGATACATTCATTAAATAAAATGCTATGCTGCCATTAAAAATATTAAGGTAGGTTGCCGGGCATGTTAGGCATGTTAGTTCTCATCTGTAATCCTAGCACTCTGGGAGGCTGAAGTGGAGGATTGTTTGAGTTCAAGAGTTCAAGACCAACCTGAGAAAAGCAAGAACCCCCATCTCTACCAAAAACACAAAAATTAACCAGGTGTGGTGGTGCATGCCTTCAGTCCCAGCTACTTGAGAACTGAGACAGGAGGATCATCTGAGCCCAAGAGTTTGAGGTTGCTATAAGCTAGGGTAAGAAC